AGGAGGGAGGAGAGAGAGAGAGAGAGAGAGAGAGGAGGCGACGATCGGGCGAATTTCGACGGAGGAGGACGAGTGGAGAGGAGCGACGAAGGAGGAAGGCAGGAGGAAGAGCGTGCGTAGCAAGGACGAGGAGGGGAGTGGGGTGGAGGGGAAAGAATGAAGCGAGCGTGGAACGCGACACAGGAGAGCACGCAGGGGCGGCTGGCAAAGGGGAAACGCAAAGAAGGGGAAATCGTGGAAAGCGGGGGAGGCCGTCTCGGCCCCTCTCGAAGCGCCTGGCCCCGACACGACGACGGTCCTGCTGCGTTGCGACGGCGCAGCGGCTCCAAGGATCTCCGTCCTTCTTCATCCACCCCCTCGAGCGCGCCCCTCCGCCCATCGGATCGATCCGTCCGTAGCTAGACTCGCCGACAACGCGGCTTATGCTCGCGCGTACACGCGTCGAGGACCGCTCTCGCGCGCCTTACACACGCGTGGACAAGTTGGATGGATATGGGCAGACGAGGGAAAAAGTGATACGCGGGGGGATGGAGTGGTATCGAGGTGGTTGCTTTTCTTCTTTTTCTTTTTTTTTTTTTTGGTTATACGAGAAGGGGAGATAGGTTTCTCGTGGAGGAAGGTATGGTATGGTATGGAGAGATTTATATTATTATTGGGGGAGCGGGATAGTTTGGTCGATAGTTGCGTTTATGAAGAGTTGTTTGAAAATGGGGGAATTTTCAGCGAGATAACAAGCGATTTCTTTTTAAGGGGATTAAATAGGATATTAAATATAAATTCGGATGAGTTTGGGCAGGAAATTGTATACGAAATTTCATATCCACGTCTGTGTACATCTGAAGTGCCGTATACGCAATCGTAACAGCTTGGGAATTACTTCCCTAGTTGCGCCACCGTCAATAGTTTTCCCACTGATTCAGCTTAATGCCCCGGCCATTATCATCACTATCTACCACTCCACTATATCCCGCTCTAACAAAATCCTCTTCAATCCGCATCAAACCCATTAAATAATTCTCAAAAACGACTTTAATAAAATCACTATTGCTGGAATAAACTCAATTTTTCTCCTTTTTTTTTTTTTCAATAAAATTTTTTCTAATAAAAGCTTTTCTCGCAACTCCTTTACATCAAATCGATCCTCGCCATAAAATTAAAAAAAAAAAAAAAAGAAAGAAAGAAAGAAGGGTGTAAAGTTAATAAAATACGATACTCAAAAGATTTCGAATTTTTTCCAATAATGCATAAAACTCTGTGAGTAAAGCTTTCTTTAAAATTCTTCGCGTTCTTAAACGAACCCATTAAAATAAAAAAAAAAAAAAGAAAAAGTATAAAGTTAAGGAAATATTGCTTTTAACGATCCTTCGAAAAAGAATTTTTTTTCAATAACGATAAAATTCTCAAAACTTCCCTTACAATCTAAATTCTCAAATCAATCCTTGACCAGAAAAACACAAAAGAAATATATTATTCCATTCCAATCGACAACGATCACAAACTTTTTTCCCCCAGCCGATAACACATTTCGAACTTTCGAAAAACTTCCATCACTTCTTCTCGCAAAACCTGGAAAACCAACCCCTATCTAAATAAAACAAATATATAAACTTAACGAAACATTCTCCTTAATCAATAATTCCATTTCGAAATTCCTTTTTCTCTTTTTTCTTCAACGATACACGAAAACTTCCATCCTTTCTCGCATCCTTGAAACCAACACCTAACCTAACCTAACTTAACCAAAACGTAAAACGAAAAATGTGTGTAAAAAGTTATTACCGAAAATACCGTGTACCCCACCTTATCTCCCGTTTCGCCGCAAAATTTATTCAAAGAACCGTGCGCTCCGGCGAAATTAACGATAAAACGTGTTAAACGAGCAAGAAAGAAAGCGAAAACAGCGTGAAACCGCCCGCACAGGGGGGGAAGGGGGCGGTTAACTGCATCCGGAACCGTATGCAGAGCTCGTGCAGGGCTAAGATTACGAGATTCGCAGCAGGATTCGAAGTTAGCGGGGAGAAAGGATCGGATTAGTGCATCCACTTATCGTCCGTGTATGGGTGCGTGTCATATCACACACACACACATATACGCGAATTCTGCAAGCCTGTACCGAGGTTGGTTCTCTTCGAGTCGGACTCGACTTCGATTTAGCGCCGAGTACGTGACTGCTTTGGTCATACGTTAATTTGGATTTTCGCCTTCTACTACGTGATTTTTCCCTCTGCGAATCAATTTTTGGATTACGCGACTCAGGGGACTGGTTTTCTTCTTCTTCTTCTTCTTCTTGGCGAGAAGTGGAGCGTTAAGAATTTCAACGAGAACGAGTAATAATTATTTCCAACGATGATTGAACGGAATTAATATGGGATAAGGATTGTTATAAAGAAAAGAATCAAGAGTTTTGAACGAAGGAAAAAATTGAAGGAAAGTATTATTTTTCGAGGAGGATTCAAGGAGCAGATTTTTGAAAATTATTCTATCGCATTGAAATTTCGAAATTGTGGAACAGGAAAATGGTGGATGAAATCGTAATTAAAATATTTCGCCACGGTTTTCGGCACGGAAGTTTAAAGCGGTGTGTCCCAACTGTTTGAAACGCGTTAATATTTTCCCTTCGTTGAATTTCTGTACCTGTTCCAATAGTAACGAGTATACGTGACATAATACTATGTGGAATTTTTTTTT